CCCCCCCATAGCTGACCTCCATGTTGTACATAGTATTAGAGAGGTAAAGTGCCCCTAGAACGCCCGGTGCCCCTAGACATGTGCCTACTATGCCTCTTTGGAAATCCGGCGCTGCCGGCAGGTAGACCCCAGTGGTATGTCTACAGCATACTAAGCCGGAGCTCTGACTCAGGCTTAAGACCAAGCCCCACTTCTGTCCACACAGAAGTTAGTTTGACTCAGGCCTGCACAGCCTGCTAGGGGGTGGGGTCAGAGCCGAAGTCCCACTGTGATGCAAGTCAGAGCCCAAACGCTTTGTAGTGTGGATACAGCTCAGCTCCATGTCACCTGACTCGGGTGTGGAGAAGCTGCCAACACTCTCTAACAATCCCCAGGGACTGCGCTTCCCGGCCCTTCAATTCCAAAACTTGCCACTGGCTTCCCAGGAACCTTATGTAACATGGGGATACTGATAATGGCCTCCTTTGTAAAGGACATTGAGATCTTCTGAGGAAATGAGCTACAGAAGAGGTAGATAGTCTTGGGGTGCAGGTGTGACTGGTTGGATCACAGAAACCCCCTTGGGAGCTGCCACCTGATGTGCAAAGACCAGGGCCGGCTCTAGGCACCAGCAAACAAGCTGGTGCTTGGGGTGGCACATTTTTAGGGGCGGCATGGCCGGCGCCAGAATACCACCCCTAAAAATGTGCCCCGGCCGCCCTAGCTCACCACCACGGTGCGCGAAACAGCTGATTCGAGTGCCGCTGCTCACCCTCCCTCCCAGGTTTGAGAGCCTGGGAGGGAGGGGGAGACTTTGAGTGGCTGCAGTGCGCACACCACTTCTCCCACTCCCTCCCTCCCTTGAGAATTTGAGGGCTGGGGATTTGAGGAAGGGGGGGAGTTGAGGCGGGGCCGGGGGTGGGGTAAGAAAAAAATCGGGGGGGAGCCCCAGCCAAAATTGTTTTTGCTTGGGGTGGCAAAAATCCTAGAGCCGGCCCTGGCAAAGACTACCTCTGCTCCTGTTTTCCCTGCCAGCTTAGGACTCCAGTACCCTGTCCTGCTGAATCAGACACTCCCGTCTGCTCCAACACAGACCCAGGGTCTGAATCACTTGCCCCAAAGCTGCAAGTTTACCTGAAAACAGCTCACAGAAGTGTGCTTGTCTTTAGCACTCAGATGCCCAACTCCCAACGGGGTCTAAACCCAGATAAATCAGTTTTACCCTGCATAAAGCTTATGCAGGGCAAACTCAAATTGTTCACCCTCTATAACACCGACAGAGAGATCTGCACAGTTGTTTGCTCCCCCAGGTATTAATACATACTCTGAGTTAATTACTAAATAAAAAGTGATTTTATTAAAAACAGAAAGTAGGATTTAAGTGGTTCCAAGTAGTAACAGACAGAACAAAGTAAGTCACCAAGTAAAATAAAATAAAATGCGCAAATCTATGTCTAATCAAACTAAATACAGATAAGTTCCTCACCAGTTCCAGAATGCTCCCTTTTACAGGCTAATCTCCTTTTAGCCTGGGTCCAGCAATCACTCACACCCCCTGTAGTTATTGTCTTTTGTTCCTGTTCCCTTCAAGTATCCTGAGGGGGTGGAGAGGTTCCTTCCTTAGCCAGCTGAAGACAAAAATGGAGGAGTCTCCCACGGGTTTAAATAGACTCTCTCTTGTGGGTGGAGACCCCCCCCTCCTCCCTCCTATGCAAAATCCAGCTGCAAGATGGAGTTCTGGAGTCACTTGGGCAAGTCACATGTCCCTGCATGAGTCAGTCTTTACAGGCCGAAGCCATTGTCCACATGGTAGCTTGTATGTCTCCAGGAAGACTTTTTATGTGGATTGGAGCATTCCAAAATGTGTTGTTCCCCAAGTGTTTCCTGATCAGGTACTTAACCTGGCGAATTCCTTCCTAAAGAAACTGACCAAATGCCTCACAATGCTTACTTAGAAACCAAGCAAGCATACAGCCCATATTCTTACCCTCAAGTAGAAAACGATCTAGATGTACAAAGAGGATGAATAGATATCGTAGACCAGAACCTTTACGGAGATCTGTTACATGGCACAGGCAGCACAAAACATATTCCAGTTATGCCATACATACATTTATAAGCACCCCCCCCATAAAGCCTTATGGGGTACACTGTCACAGCAGGTCCAACACAGGCGGGTCTGGCCCCTCTCCTCAACAAGGGCTCAGCTGCTGCTCTGGAGGTGAAAAGCTCTTGGTATCTCCTCAACCACCAGGCCTTGTAATGTCCTAGGGATGATGCCCCTCTGGGTTCCTGACCAGGACGTCGGTTATTCCTTCCCCTGAGAATCCACCCTTACGATTGGAGACTGGCCACTTCCCAGGGCTTTGGGAGATGAGTCAGAGCTGCGGGACACCAGTGTGGTGCTGAGGTGGGCCAGCTACTGCTCTCATTTACCCGGGTGCAGGGCAGGAGTAACTCTACTGAATCGAATGGGGTTACGCCTGATTTTTCTGTGGGATATTCCAGCTGCTGGGAGTGGTTCTAACAGGGTTCCCACACCCAGGAAAGACAGCCACCCGCCCATTGCCCCCCCGTGGCAGCATGCACTCGCCCTTTTGTACCGAGCAGGCATCCTCG